ACTCACGTGGCGCCTGGCGCAGACCGTAGACCGGCCGCCGGAGGCTCCACTGGGTACCAGGAGGGAACGACCCAGTGAAGCCAGGTGGGCGGCGCAGCCAGATCTCCTCGTGCAGGCTGCCCTGTAAGAAGGCTGTGCTGAAGTCAAGAGAGTGAAGCTCGTAGTCACGCTGAGCGGCAACGTGCAGCAGCACCCGAAGAGTAGTCATCTTCGGGGTGGGGGAGAAGGTCTGGAAGAAGTCGACTCCCTCCCTCTGACTGAAGCCTCGAGCAACGTAACGAGCCTTGAAGACAGGCGGAGAACCTGGAGGCCGTTTCACCCTGAAAATCCACATGCCACTGACGATGTTCGCCCCAGGAGGGGGAACCTCGTCGACGTATGTGCCTGTGGACTTCCAGGATGCCATCTCTGCGTCCATGGCTGTCTGCCACTGAGAGGAGTACTCACCCGCGATCGCCTCAGCGTAAGAGCGCGGGGTCGGGATGTCTGGAGCATCCGGGTCTCCCTAAGGGGCAAGCAGCATGGACACGAGATGAGGCGCAGCGGCTGCAAGACACTCAAGGTCCTCCTGCCTGTCCTCAAGGACGTCCGTGCTAAGGGCACACTCACCCCCGACGGACGGAGGACAGACAGACTCAGACTCAGAAACAAGACTAGCGGCGTAGTCTAGACGACAGGCAGCAGTAAAGTCAACAAGCTCAGCGACTAAGGCAGACGCAGCAGCAGACTCAAGCGACGGGTCAGTGACAACTGTGGCTAGCAGACGCGTGGCAGTAGGGTGCTCAACACGAAACAGGTCAGACTCAGGCTCAGGAACGGTAGGCAGAGAAGACGCAGGAGGGGACGGCAGGGAAACACGCTGCGGAGGAGAGGAAGGACGACGAACTTGGTGGGTGGTGCTGACCTCCAGGACCAGTGGGTTGACCAGTTCACTCCTGGAGGTCAGCGAGTGACCCACTGTACGTGCTCCCGGACGGGCCGGCACCTGGCCACGTTTACTCGTGCGCCTGGCTCGAGTCTGTACACACTGACTACTGGGGGCGGCGTAGCTGGTGCAGGGCAGTGCGCGGCAGCAGCACTGCAGCAGCAGTTCAGGCGCAGCAGCGAAGCAGCAGCGTGAGTGCAGCAGTAACACGGGCCGCGTGCGGGCCAGGCATGGGCTGTAAGGGCTGCGTGCGGGCCTGGCGCGGGCTGTACGAGCTGCGTGCGGGCCTGGCGCGGGCTGTACGAGCTGCGTGTGGGCCTGGCGCGGGCTGTACGGGCTGCGTGCGGGCCTGACGTGGGCTGTACGGGCTGCGCGATGGCCTGGCGCGGGCTGTACGGGCTTCGCGACGGGCCTACGCGGGCTGTACGGGCTTCGCGACGGGCCTACGCGGGCTGTACTGGCTGCGCGCGGGCCTGGCGTGGGCTGTACGGGCTGCGCGACGGCTTGACGCGGGCTGTACGGGCTGTGCTCGGGCCTACGCGGATTGTACGGGCTGCGCACGGCAGAAAAGGGCAGGGCAGCGCGAAACGCTGGGCAGGGCAGAAACTAACGGTCGGGCAGGTGAAAACGAATGTGGTGGGCCCTCAATTACGGTCCTAGGCTAGGACCGTCCTAGCTCTGATACCATGTTAGAATACTAGGAAGGAATGTGTCATAAGGTCAAAGGGGGGGGTACAAGAAGAATGTCGAGAGAAATGTTGTACCCCCTAGTGCTAACCCCCATACAGCCTAGATAACCTAAACATGCAGATATGATTTGACACGGGACTGTGTGTGACCAACCTTCCCGCATGTCTGACCAGCGCGGTCACCTGTGCGAATGACGTACTGGCAGCGAACACTACCCCCAGACGCCCCACGCTGAGCAAACCACTCACGAAGCTCCTAGGGCGTAGAGGTCTCACGCGGACGCTGCTGCTGCTGCCTGTGACCAGCGCCAGAACCTCCCCGCTGACCGGCTCCACCCCGACCGCCACCACTGCCGTTGCCACCACTCCCACTGCTGCCACCACTGCCGCCACCACCACTCCCACTGCCGCCACCACCGCCACCACCAACGCCTCCACTCCCACCACCACTCCCTCCGCCACCACCGCCACCTCCACCGCCTCCACCGCCCCCACCACCGCCTCCACCGCTGCCACCCCCACCACCCTCCCTTGCCCTTGCCGCTGCGGCGCCTCCCACTAGGAGTAGACGCAGCCGCAACCTCCTCAGCACGAAGGAAGTCAACAGCAGCAGCAGAAGCGAAAGAGGGGGCAAGGGGGGAGGGGGAACACCCCTCAAAGAAGGGTGTGCGAGGAGTGCCACGAGCAGCACCTACAGCGACTATGCGAGCCTCAGCTGCAAGGAGGTGCTTGTCGAGCAGGTCGACAGTGAGGTCCGTGGGGTCCATGGCGAGAAAGAGGTCCCTGACAGCGCTAAGAGAGTCAGGGAGGCGGGTGACTATGAAGTAGAGAGTGATGTACATGGGGGGAGGGTTCTCGTCTAGAAACTTGGTGGGAAGCGCGGCGCGGTAGCGAGTGTCGCTAGTGCGAAGGTGGGTGATGAGGTCGTCGACTGTGGCAAAGGCGGACAGCTCGGGAAAAAGGTAGGGCAGTATAAGGCGGCCGAGAGCAGCAGTGGCAGGGGAGGAGTAACGAGTGACTACAGCATCGTACAGGCCTTTAGCAGTCTTGTGCTGGCCAAAGTGAGCGCGTTCGGCTAACGGTAAGTGGTTGCAAACGGCTAGGCGAGCAGCAGCGTCACGGGTAAGCCACTGTGAGTGAGTCGCACTGTCAGCTGTGGCGGGAGGGGCGAGAGAGGCTCCAGACGTGAGGTCAAACAACGAAACGCCGTCTCTAGAATCGCTCAGTAGGTACAGCTGTAAGTCATCGAGCCACGTATCAAACTTGATCGGACGGCCTTCAGGATCGAATGTGAGAACGCTGAGAGTAGCCATAGCGGGCAGAGCAGGGTGGCGCGTGACAAGCAGGGCAGCACGCAAGTAAGGACGGCGCGACGGGCAGGGCGGCGCGCAAGCGCTAGGGAGGCGCGCAGGGCAGGGCGGGGCGGCGCACAGCTAGGGCAGGGCGGCCCAACTGGCAGGGCAAGGCGGCGGCCAGCAGGGCGGTGCGCAGGCAGGGCAGGGCAGGGCGGCGGCCAGCAGGGCGGCACGCAGGCAGGGCAGGGCAGGGCGGCGGCCAGCAGGGCGGCGCGCGGGCAGGGCAGGGCGGTGCGGCGGCCAGCAGAGCGGCGCGCGGGTAGGGCAGGGCGGTGCGGCGCTAGCAGGGCAGCGCGACGGGCAGTGGAGGGCGGCGCGCGACCAGCAGGGCGGCGCGACGGGCAGGGCAGGGCGGCGCGGCGCTAGCAGGGCGGCGCGACGGGCAGGGCAGGGCGGTGCGCGGCAAGCAGGGCGGCGCGACGGGCAGGGCAGGGCGGCGCGGCGCTAGCAGGGCGGCGCGACGGGCAGGGCGGCGCGGCGCTAGCAGGGCGGCGCGACGGGCAGGGCAGGGCGGCGCGCGGCAAGCAGGGCGGCGCGACGGGCAGGGCAGGGCAGCACGACGGGTGGGGCAGCGCGACGGGCAGGGTAGGGCGCTACGGGCAGGGTAACGCGCTATGGGCAGCGAACTATACGGTGGGCCCTAAAAAAAAACCGGTCCTGGAACAGGACCTGCTCTGAAACCATGTCAAAGTACTGAACGGGAATGAATGAACTAGGAACAAAGTGGGTACAAGTACTAACCCTAATTGGGTTGTACCCCTTATGGGCTACCCCAATACAGCCTACACAACCTAGACATTATAACTGTTTGACAGTTTAGTCCAGTCCGGTCGCGAGCGATTCGTCACTGGTTGCTTCGAATATGCTGTAAGTACCAGGGTGAGGAAACAATAGTGACAGGTAGGGATGGGGGAGAGAGTTATGGGACAAGCACAGAAAGTTCGGCGAGGGAGAACAAAGATGAACGAAGTCATTCGAGAATGCGGCCTATAACAGCTTCACCTTCAAAAGCTTGTGTTTCCTTGTATCTTTCGACCCTACGTTTCAGATTAACCTTACATCAAGAAGCCTCACTATATAAATAGAGATGCATTCTTTAATGAATCCCCTCTCACCAACTGTATATGAGAAACAGACCGCATGTGTCGCTCCGCCTCCCCCTTATCACCCCAGCAACTCCTTCCGCATACGCGCAGCGCAAACAACCAACCACTCGCGCACACCTTGGCATCACTGAGTTGCGCACCACGCTGAACCACTCTCCACCATTCATTCCCCCACCAACCCCCTCCCCCGTTTCCCGCATCCAACCTTCCCCCCAACTGCACGAACCAGTCTGCCCTCGATATGCACGCGATTCCGCCGCGCCAAACTCCTGGTCTTGTCCCGACCCGAAGTCCGCGCATTCCGCAATAAGCGCGCCACATCGCGGCATTCCCAGGGTAGGGAGTGCTTTCCCGCCCATCCAGTCCGCCCTTCACATGCCCCCCGTTTCCCCCCCTCCACCTCCACCCCTCACAGACCCTCTATCTCCGCCGTTCGGTTTACAGTATTTATTTTGGCGTCGCCTTACCTAATTAGTTGACCCTCGACTGCGGCGTAGTGACCTAAGCGGTCACTCCGTACATACTCTAGTACGGTACATACGACAGTAGCCGTAGGTAGTCACGGAGTCATTGCGAACCCGCGTTGGGTCGCATTCTTAGGGTTGCGACCTAGCTCGCTTTTCGTCGCGCCATTTCGCCAGCTCTTGCCGCCATTTCCGTTAGCTTGTCGTCACGACTTCCTGTCAGGCCGCGACAGAATTTAGGGTTTCCCCCCATTGATTCAATACACTGACGTACGCTTTCATTGTCTGCTGTGCGCTGTCGCCGGCTGTAGTCACACTCGTCTTTTCCGACTCGATATAGTCACTCTCCTACGCTCGTTAGCCCAAACGTAGTAGATGTGAAGCAACGGGGACTTCGCTAGCACAATCCATTCCCCCTCCCCCTCCCCCCTTCGCCCCATCCCCGTTATAATCACATAGCAATGTTGCAATCCGTTAAGAAGACGTTCGCAGGGGGTCGGAAGAAAACAGGAAATAAAGCCGAGCACCACGATAGCGCCGCCGGTGCCGCCCCGCACCACGGGCACGCGCCGCCCCCCGCCGGTCCCGCCGGGGGACCAGCGTCCCGGACCGCTTCAGGAGGAAAGGCTCCCGGGGCCAATGCCGCGAAAGGCGCCGCGCCTGCCGCTGGCGCGGCTCTCCGAACGAGCAGCTTCAACAAGGACAAGCCAGACGCTGTAGCGATTCCCGCTGTACCGAATCCGAATGTGTCGCCGTTCGCCGAGCCGCTCCCGCTTTTCCGGGACGTGGCGGCTCCGGAAAAGCAGGCACTGTTCATCCGCAAGCTCGCGCTCTGCTGCCACACGTTCGACTTCGCGGACCCGCTTAAGAACATGAAGGAGAAGGAGATTAAGCGGCAGACGCTCTTAGAACTAGTCGAGTATGTCAATTCCGGCACGGGGAAGTTCAGCGAGGCCGTGTTTGAGGATATCGTGCGGATGCTCCGGGCGAATCTGTTCCGCGCGCTCCCCCCCTCCGCGCACGAGAACACGGGGTCGGAGGGATTCGATCCGGAGGAGGAAGAGCCGAATATGGAGCTCGCGTGGCCGCATTTGCAGATCGTGTACGAGTTCCTGCTGCGCTTCGTAGTTAGTAACGAGACTGACGCTAAAGTGGCGAAACGGTACCTGGACCAGCCGTTTGTCCTGAAGCTGCTAGATTTGTTCAACTCCGAGGATCCGCGCGAGCGCGACTATTTAAAGACCATTCTGCACCGGATATACGGCAAGTTCATGGTCCACCGGCCGTTTATCCGCAAGTCGATTAACTACATCTTCTACCGTTTTATCTACGAGACGGAGCGGCACAACGGGATCGCGGAGCTGTTAGAGATCCTCGGCAGCATAATCAACGGGTTCGCGCTGCCTCTTAAAGAGGAGCACAAGATGTTCCTGGTCCGCGCGTTAATCCCGCTGCACAAGCCCAAGTGCGTGTCGATATACCACCAGCAGCTGTCGTACTGCATCACGCAGTTTGTCGAGAAGGATCCGTCGCTTGCTGACGTGGTGCTGCGCGGGCTGCTGAAGTACTGGCCCTTAACTAACAGCCAGAAGGAGGTGCTGTTCCTGGGCGAGCTGGAGGAGATTCTGGAGCTCACGCAGGGCGCGGAGTTCCAGCAGGTCGTCGCGCCGCTGTTTCTGCGCATCGCACGCTGCCTCAACAGCTCGCATTTTCAGGTGAGCCAAGGAAACTCGCACTTCCAGGTGAGGAAAAGCTAAGGGGGGAGGGAAGGGGATGCGGGTGGGGAGAAAAGCTCGCGCTTCCAGGTGGGTAAGAAAAAACGGAGATAAGGCAGTGCCTCAACAATAGCAGGCAGGAGGTGGGGGAGAGGGGAGAACCAAGAGGAGGTGCTGTTTCCTTGGGCGAAGTGGGGAGGGGCGAGGTGCTGTTTCTGGGCGAGCTGGAGGAGATTCGTGAGCTCACGCGTGTGATGTGAGTGAGGTGAGGGCACTCGTCAAAGGGATCTCACGCACGCAGGGCGCGGAGTTCCTTCCAGCAGGTCGTCGCGCCGCTGGAACTCCGCAGCGCGCAATGCGCAGAAACAGCGGCCTGCTGGAACTCCTGTTTCTGCGCATTGCGCGCCGCCTCAACCGACAGCTCGCATTTTCAGGTGAGGAAAAACAAATGGAGGAAAACGAAGGGAAGGGGGTGCGGGTTGGGGGAAAGGCCTTCCAGGTGAGCTCACGAGGTGTGGGGAGGAGGGGTGAAGGGGGGAGAGGGGGCAGCGGGGTGTGAGGGAGAGCGCCTGTTCTACTCGCATTGCACTTTTTTTAGGCGTCTTGAAGAGCGCCTCTACTGCTCGCACTTGCAGGTGAGTGAGAAAGAACACTAGGCGGGGGGGGTGTTGTGCCGAGCTGACGACGAGGTGTGTGCATGGGTTTCTGAGGCCTCAGAATTCACCTTCATGCAGGTGAGAAAGGACACTAGGGGGGGAGGGGGTGTTGTGCTGACGACGAGGTGCGTCGGTGGAGGAAGTGGTGGGATGGAAGAGGGGGGAAAGGGATAGGTACAGCTCGCACTTATATAGGTACAGCTCGCACTTATATAGGTACAGCTCGCACTTATATAGGTACAGCTCGCTTGGCCGCTCTGTTCCTCCCTTTCGCGCGCTGCCTTGATAGGCCGCACTCTTGAATCAATGAATGTGTGACGAGGTGTGTGGAGGGAAGAAGAGAGGGGGGTGTTGAGCTGACGAGGTGTGTGGAGGGAGGAGGAGGGGGGAGGGGAGGGTGAGGGAGGGGTATCTCAACTGCTCGCAGTTGTACACGTATTGAGACGATACACGTGTGTTTGAGGCGCCTTAAAAAGGCGTCTCAAACACATGGGGAGTGTGAGGGAGGGGGATGAGATGTCAACTGCTCGCACTTTTACACGAGTGAACGAGGTGTGTGAGGGCGGACGTGGGGAAGGGAAGGGAGGGGAGCGGAAAAGGGGGGGAAGGTAAGGGAGGGGAGGGGAGGGGAAGGGAGGGAGGAATCTACGTGAGTGAGGTTTTGCCTCCCTCCCTTGGGAGAGGGAGTGAGGGCCCTCAAAAGAGGGGAGGGGAGGCGGGTGAGAGAGAGAGAGGGCTGCATATTTGTTTTAAAGCGCCCAAAAAAGGGAGGAGGAGGGTGGGTGGGCAAGGGGGGGGGGGGGTAGAGTTGTCTCAATAGCTTGCACTTCCTGGAGGGTTATGAGATGAGATCTCGGGAGAGGGGAGGGGGGGAAAGGGCGAGGGGGGTACTTAGGGTTGCGGCTTGCATGCCCAGGTGAGAAAGAACCGGGATCTTGAATTGCAGCTTGCATGGATGGCACACTGAGGGCATGCCATGCCATGCCACACATAGGGCATGTGATGGTACACATAGGGCATGTGATGGTACACATAGGGCATGTGATGGTACATATAGGGCATGTGATGGTACACATAGGGCATGTGATGGTACACATAGGGCATGTCATGGCACACATAGGGCATGTGATGGCACACATAGGGCATGTGATGGCACACATAGGGCATGTCATGGCACAGATAGGACATGTCATGCCACACATAGGGCATGTCATGCCACACATAGGGCATGTGATGGTACACATAGGGCATGTGATGCCACACATAGGGCATGTCATGCTACACATAGGGCATGTCATGCCTTAACTCAACTTAGGCCATTCCCTGCCGTGCTGCCTTCACTCAACACACACACCCCTCTTCTCCCCTCTTCCTCCCCACCCACACACTCCTCTTCCCCGCACACATGCGCACACGTCCTCCCCCACCCTCCCACGCCCACCCCCACGCGCATTAGGTGGCGGAGCGCACCCTGTTCCTGTGGAACAACGACTACATCGTGAGCCTCGTGGCTCTGAACCGGGCTGCTGTGCTGCCGTGCTGCCTCGTACGGGCATACACGTGCCCCCATCCCCTCGGCCCCTACCCCATCCCCTTCCCTGCATACCAGGTGGCGGAGCGCACCCTGTTCCTGTGGAACAACGACTACATTGTGAGCCTCGTGGCACAGAAGCGAGCTGCCTCAACTCAACTCAACACACGCACCTGTTGTCCCATGCCCGTCCCCCCATCCCATCGCCTCTCCCCCGCCCATCAGGTGGCGAAGCGCACGCTCTTCCTGTGGAACAACGACTACATTGTCAGCCTCGTGGCACAGAAGCGAGCTGCCTCAACTCAACTCAACACACGCACCTGTTGTCCCATGCCCGTCCCCCCATCCCATCGCCTCTCCCCCGCCCATCAGGTGGCGGAGCGCACGCTCTTCCTGTGGAACAACGACTACATTGTCAGCCTCGTGGCACAGAAGCGAGCTGCCTCAACTCAACTCAACACACGCACCTGTTGTCCCATGCCCGTCCCCCCATCCCATCGCCTCTCCCCCGCCCATCAGGTGGCGGAGCGCACGCTCTTCCTGTGGAACAACGACTACATTGTCAGCCTCGTGGCTCAGAACCGGGCTGCCGTGCTGCCGCTGATATTCGGAGCTCTGGAGAGGAACGCGAGGAGCCACTGGAACCAGGTGAGGGGGGAGGGGGGGAGGAGGAAGGGGGAGGAGGGAGGAGTGTGAAGGGAAGGGAGAGCAGGGGTGGGAGGAGGCGTCACTGAGCTGCCGTGCTGCCGCTGATCTTGGGGGCTTTGGAGCGGAACGCGAGGAGCCTCTGGAACCAGGTGAGGGGTGAAGGGGGGAGGAGGAAAGGAGTGTGAAGGGAGGGGTGAGCAAGGGTGAGCAGGGGCGGGAAGGGAGATGGTGGGGAGAGGTGAGAAGGCAGCACCGAGCTGCTGTGCTGGCGCTGATCTTTGGTGCTCTTGAGAGGAATGCGAAGAGCCACTAGAACCAGGTGAGATGGGAGGGGGAAGGGGGCAAGAACAGGGAGGTGATTTTGAGTCGACTCTAAAATCGCCTAGCGAGAGGGGGGGGCAGAGGGCAGGAACAGGGAAGGTGTGAGAGGAGTTGAGAAGGGGAAGAGAGGTGCTGTGCTGCCGCGGATATTCGGTGCTGTTGAGGGGAATGCTCGGAGCCACTGGAACCAAATGAGAGGGGAGGGAGGGAAAGGGTGGGGACAGGGAGGGTGTGAGGGGAGGCGGGAGATGGGGTTTGCGAGGGGAATGGGAGAATAGACGAGGGCTCGGGCTTTGGAGAGGAAGGAACGCTTCTCCCATGCGTTGAATAGACAAGGGGAATGGGCTTTGGAGAGGAAGGAACGCTTCTCCCATGCGTTGAATAGACAAGGGGAATGGGCTTTGGAGAGGAAGGAACGCTTCTCCCATGCGTTGAATAGACAAGGGGAATGGGCTTTGGAGAGGAAGGAACGCTTCTCCCATGCGTTGAATAGACAAGGGGAATGGGCTTTGGAGAGGAAGGAACGCTTCTCCCATGCGTTGAATAGACAAGGGGAATGGGCTTTGGAGAGGAAGGAACGCTTCTCCCATGCGTTGAATAGACAAGGGGAATGGGCTTTGGAGAGGAAGGAACGCTTCTCCCATGCGTTGAATAGACAAGGGGAATGGGCTTTGGAGAGGAAGGAACGCTTCTCCCATGCGTTGAATAGACAAGGGGAATGGGCTTTGGAGAGGAAGGAACGCTTCTCCCATGCGTTGAATAGACAAGGGGAATGGGCTTTGGAGAGGAAGGAACGCTTCTCCCATGCGTTGAATAGACAAGGGGAATGGGCTTTGGAGAGGAAGGAACGCTTCTCCCATGCGTTGAATAGACAAGGGGAATGGGCTTTGGAGAGGAAGGAACGCTTCTCCCATGCGTTGAATAGACAAGGGGAATGGGCTTTGGAGAGGAAGGAACGCTTCTCCCATGCGTTGAATAGACAAGGGGAATGGGCTTTGGAGAGGAAGGAACGCTTGGAAGTTGGAGCCCCTGCGGTGCGGTGCGGTGCGGGTGTGAGAAGAATTTGAGACATCTCAAAAGTTTGGAGTTTTGAGACGTCTCAAAATAAGAGAGGAATTGTTTTGAGAATTCTAAAAAAATCCCTGGAATGCTTGGAGTTCGTGGGGTGTGAGGAGAATCGTGAGCGGAGGTGGGGCGGGGGTGGGGGTGGGGGGGCGAGAGGGGGGGAGTGGGGGTTTGAGGGGGGTGGGGGGGGTTTGTGGAGGTGCAAGAAGCATGAGAAGTGGGCAAGGGAATGACGATCCGAAGGCGTTGCCCCATTGCGCAGGTGCAGGGTCCGCATCCCCCCATACCCACCAGGCTGTTAACGGGTTGACCATCAACGCGAGGAAGTTTTTTCTGGCGGTGGATCAGGCGCTCTATGAGGAGAGGCAGTTCCCCCCTTGCCGGATGCATGCTGTGCTGTGCTGCTCACCCTCCCTTTTCCCCCCTCCCTCTCCCCTCTTCCCCCACCGCCCAGGCGGTGAACGGGCTGACGATCAACGTGAGGAAGATGTTTCTGGAGATGGACCAGGCGCTCTACGAGCACTGCCAGAGGCACTTCCCCCCATTGCCCAATGCACGCTGTGTTACTCTCCCTCTCCTTCCTCCCCTTCCCCACTGCTATCCCCATTCTCCAGGCTGTTAACGGGCTAACCATCAACGTGCGCAAGATGTTTCTGGAGATGGACCAAGCGCTCTACGAGGACTGCCAGAGGCAGTTTCTGGAAGAGGAGGTGAGGGAGAGGGAAGTGCAGGCGGGCAGGGAGCACGCGTGGAGACGACTGGAGGAGGAGGCTGCTGCTCGCTCGCCCATGTATGGGGACGGCGGTGGTGCCAGTGGTGGGGGGCAGGTGGCGATGCAGGGTCGGGACATGAGAATGGGCATGTCGGTGGAAACGTCGTGAGTGGTGGGAGGGAGGAGGGTGGGGAGCATGGTTGGTAGGGCTGGGAGGGAGGGAGGAGGCGACGGAGAGGGTTGAGGAGGAGGCTGCAGGTGGTGGTGGTGGTGGGGGGCAGGTGGCAATGCAGGGTCGGGACATGAGGGTGGGCATGTCAGTGAAAGCATTGTGAGGGGAGAATGAGCAGAGGCGGGTGGGGAGGGCGGGAGGGAGCAGACAGAGTGGGAGAGGTGGAGGCGGGAAGGAGGGAGGGTGTGGGTACTGGAGGAAGAGAATGCTTTTACATTGCTAGTGATGGTGCAACTGCTGCAGCTAGTTTTGCCATGGCGAGCGCTACTGTTGTGTAGCCGTTGCAGGGCTTGGGCTTGTCTTGTCCCGAGGTTGCTTCCTGTGGTTTATCTGAGGTTTCTTCTTAGTTCGTGTGACTCCATTGGCCACTGAGGGATGATGGCAGCAGCATTAGTAGCAGCGGAAACAGTGGCATCAGCAGCAGTAGCAATCGCAGTAGCAGCAAGGGAAGTGGGCCAGCAGCAGCAGCTGCAACTGCAGCGGCGGCAGCAGCTGCTGTAGCGGCAGCAGCAGCTGCTGTAGCGGCAGCAGCAGCTGCTGTAGCGGCAGCAGCAGCAGCAGCAGTGACCATATGAGTGCTTGAAGGCCAGGTAATTGCAGGGTTACCCGAAGGAAGGACCTAATAACCTTCTTCCTTAGGTTCACATGTTAGCAGTGACAGGTGGCAGGTAACAGTAACAGGATATGGCTGACAGACTCTCTTAAGCATGGTATCTGGCCTCATAAACGCCTCAGCAACATGGCATGCCATGCCAGGCTCAGGAATTCCGTGCAGCAGGTTTCACTCCACACCACAAAATCTTGTTATTCTTCCAACTTTCCTGGCATTCTGTGTCTTGTGTGTTGGGTTGGGTGTTTCTGAGAATTCTCAAAAGCACTCCGGCTTGTGCTTAGATTTGCGAATGCATTGGGGTGTAGGAGGGCTGAAGGAAGCACACTAGAAGTGCTCTTTAGGTTGACCATATTGGGAAATGGACGTGCAATATGTGAGGAGGAACGTTTAGGTAGGCATATCTGCCTGCTGATGGGCATGTGTTGTAGCACAGCTGTTCGCCTCAAACTTTACTCATTTTATATCAGCTTTTGTAGGCTCGTGTCAATATTGAACACCTTAGTCTCAACGATGACACTACTCTAAGAAGTTTGGATTTTTTGTTAGTCATTAGCCGTTCGTGTTCACTACGTAACAGCTGTTCTGTAACGGAATACTTTCGCCAGCATTGAGATTTGCGGGAAACTCGACTCGGTTGCTGGCATGGGGATTACCGTGAGCGAGGCCTTCCTTGAATGCGACAAAAATAAAATCTCGGGCAGGCGACATTCTACTTTGTACGGCCATAATGATTCCGTAAGATCTGGTCTAGTCGTCGCCTCCTCTCCGCCTCTCGTCCGTACGAACCGCTCGTCGTTCCCTTCCGCTCTTTCTATTCTGACGAAGAATCTGTTGCGCCCTCCACAGATTCGCTTTTCGCCCGTGAGGACATACGGTTTCCGGCTTTCGCGAAAAGCTTTCGCCATTTCGTACCCGCCAGTCGTGTCGCAAACGCGGAGGTAAATTTGAAGCTTTCAGGAGCGAAGCCGGGTTCTGAGCCGAGACTTAAATCGGCAGCGGTTTCACACGGTCTTCAACGGTCGTATTCAGTTTCAAACCGTCTCCAACGATGAGCTCCGCAGCGCGGCCACGATGCTTCCTGGACATTGCGTTCGACGGAAAGTCGGTCGGCAGAATCGAGGTGGAGGTCCGGCCGGACGTGGCGCCGAAGACGGTGGAGAACTTTGTCGGCTTGTGCAATGGGACGAGCTCGGGGCTGGGCTATAAGGGCCTGACGCTGCACCGCATCATCCCCGGATTCATGGCGCAGGTACGCGTCGAACCGCAGGTATGTGTGGAACCGCGTGTCGAACCGCATGTATGTGTGGAACCGCGTGTCGAACCGCAGGTATGTGTGGAACCGCAGGTGAGTGGTGAACGCAGAAGGCATTACGCATCCGGATGGGCATCAGATCTCACCCTCTCAGCGTGACTTCTCTAGAGCTCTTCACGAATGCTCTGGTATCAAATCCGCGTTTGTGGCCTCACCCTAGTTATCACTACTCTCCCTCTCATCCTCCCTCGCCCTTCTAGGTCGACAATCTCCCACTCCTCCATCTGCTATGTCTCAGAAGTTTTATTCCGGTTTTTTTTTTTTTTTTTTTTTTTTTTACTATGCTCTTCGCATGGCAGGGCGGCAACTGCGGTAGTTCCATCTTCGGGCAGCCGTTTCCCGACGAGAGCTTCGAACTGAGGCACAGCGGCAGAGGCGTTCTCTCCATGGCGAATCGCGGCCCCAACACAAACAGTGAGTGGAGCAATGGTGGATGTGCCACAGTGCAAGTCCTCCCTCCCCTCCCCCACCCCCAGCCTCCCAACACCCCCTCCTCCCCGGCTTCCCACTTCCTGACGAATTCGTAAAGCTGAAGCACAGCGGCAGAGGCGTTCTCTTTATGGCGAATTGCTGAACACCAACAATGAGTGGAGGAACCATGGTGGATGTGTGCCACAGTGCAAGTCCTTCCCCCGTTTTGCACTTTCCTGACGAATTCGTTAAGCTGAGTCACAGAAGCAGCCACCTTGCATCACCCTCTCTTGCGTCACCCTCGCTTGTGTCACTCACCTACAATGCCACGTGTTCATTCTGTCCTCCCTTCCTCCCCAGCCTTCAGACTGCCAGTTCTTCATCTCCTTAAATCTTCCATCCTTACTTCTCTGCCCATCCTCTTTTCCCCCTCCTCCCTTCCTCGCTTCCTCCCTTCCTCCCTTCCTCCCTTCCTCCCTTCCTCCCTTCCTCCCTTCCTCCACTCTTCAGACTGCCAGTTCTTCATCTGTTTCACCGTGACACCCCACCTGGGTGGCAAGCACGTTGTCTTCGGGATGTTGTTTTCAGCCCGGGGGGTGCCTGTGCGTTATCGCTACCACCTCACTTTCCACCCTCTTGTCTCCCCTTACCCCCCTCTACCCTCTCCCTTACCTTCCGCCCCACCCTCCCAGACTGCGTTCTTCAACTGCTTCACTGCTACACCTCACCTGGATCGTGTCGTCTTTGGGAAGGTGGTCATAGGTGAAGGGTGTGGATGTGCTGTGCGTTGTTGCTACACCTCACTTCACCCTCTTATCTCCCTTTTCCCTCACCCTTCCCCCTCTCCACCCCCTCAGACTGCCAGTTCTTCATCTGCTTCACTGCTACGCCTCACCTGGATGGCAAGCACGCCGCCTTTAAAATGTTGATTGCAGTTGGGGGGTGGCTGTGCGTTGGTGCTATCACCTCACTTTTCAACCTCTTACTCCCCTTCCCCCTCCTTCTCCCTTCCTTCCCCCCAACCCCCTCAGACTGCCAGTTCTTCATCTGCTTCACTGCTACGCCTCACCTGGACGGTGGTCACCAGGAAGGTGGTCGTAGATGAGGGGTGTGCATGTGCGTTGTGTGCATGTGTGCTGGTGCTACCAACCAACTCACTTTCCACCCTTGCTTCTCCTTCTCCCCCTCCCCAACCCCCTCAGACTGCCAGTTCTTCATCTGCTTCACTGCTACGCCTCACCTGGATGGCAAGCATGTCGTCTTTGGGAAGGTGGTTTCAGGTGAGCGAAGGGGAGGGGGGAGGGGAGGAGGGGGGGGGGGGGGGGTGGGGGATTGACTGAGGCGGTAGGTTAGTGGGGGGCCCGAGTGAGTGAGGGGAACACTTGTGTGGGGATGGTGGTTGTTGACAAGCAGTAAGCTGGCAATTGCGGATGTTTGATTTTCTTTTTTATTTTCTCTCATCAGGAATGGATGTCGTTGACAAGCTGGAGTCAGTCGGTAGCGACAGTGGCAAGACCTCGGTGGAGGTTACTATTCAGGACTGCGGCCAGCTCGTGTAAAGTGTACATGGTACGGTATCACGGTTTCCAGTAAAATTCTACAGCTAGTGCTTATTATAATGCAGACCTTGTAACAATATGATTTCTTCAATGGGGAGGTCTGCTACACTGAAATTGTCTCTACATTGTGGAAAGTTGGAGTCGGATATGCGTGTATGATAGTTGAGGGAAATTTATTCGACACGCCACTAACGCGGCAGCAATTCGAATTGCTCAACTCTACAGTGAATCGACCGCACGAAACCTGACCCTTCACAGTTTCTCCCTCCCTCACAACACAACAACCCCCTTCCGTGAAGTACAGAAACTGAGTGCACCAGTGTATTTTGGGGTGTACGAATTGAACGAGCCAGTTCGGACGCCCACCACACCACCACACCCCATCACACTGTATCTCATTGTTTCCCGCTGTAACGTTCTCAAATCTTCTAATTGTCTGAAATGCATCCCACTGGTTCCCCCTCTTCAGCTGACAAGCGTGAGCAACGAACCCGCTAGGCTCCGGGGAGGAAAGGGGAGGGAAAAACATAGCCTGGAAAGCCAGAAAATGCTCTGATCCTTTTGCTAGAGACAACAATACGGCAGCAATAGAAGCTACCTGTGGTGATTATTTAGGGCTGGGAGTTGTTTCAGATCGACTCCGACTCGAACGGTCTTCTAGGGGTTCCATTTTCGGCCATCCTTTAGTCTCCAGCCGTCGCGGCCTTCCTGTTTCCTTACTCTCGTTGCGAGTTTTTCTGAGTTCGTTTCCTTTACAGGTCTCCTCTCATTTCTTTAGCAAAGCAACGGGAGCAATCCGTGGTGACTGGCTGGTAGACATAAGTCAAGGATATCGACGAAGTTAGCGGTGGACGTTGCTGGTAATACTTGTTGTTAGCTGGTATATAACGGTCAGGCCATTGTCGAGTGTGACAGAAGGTGGTAACTTGAGGCGATTGCATTCTAACTCGCAACTTCGTATGTCATTTTGTTCCCACGCGTCGGAGTCGAGGTAACATAGGCCGCGCTATTTGCGGCAAAACAGCCTGTACCCGTAGGTAACAGCAGCACAGTTCCTTGAAGGGACTGACCACAGCATAATCACCTGTAGCAGCAACAGCATTATCAGCTGTACCAGCAGCAACGTTATCATCAGCTGTACCAGCAGCAACAATATCAACATCTCCAGTAGATCACGATGGGGACTGAGGCGGCTTTAAAGACGTTCACAGCAGAAGAGCTCGACGAGGCCACGAATAACTACTCGCGGGAAAACTCGCTCGGTCGCGGCGGCTTCGGCACGGGCTACCGCGGAAAGCTCGCGGATGGTTCCCCCGTGCTTGTAATGAAGCTGAACCCCGATAACACCCGCCAAGCCGCGGAGAAATTTACCCGTGAAGTTACCATTTTAACGCGCGCGGACCACCCGCATCTTGTCAAGCTCCTCGGGTACAATCCTGAGGCACGCTGTATCGTGTACGAGTCGCTCCCGGCCGGGAGTCTCGAGGACCGTCTGCTGACGGAATCGGGACGGAAAACGATGAGGCAGAAGGACCGTCTGAAAATCGCGGCGGAGGCGTCAGAAGCTCTCCTCTTCCTCCACCATCTCGAGCCGCCGATTCTCCATCAGGACGTGAAACCCGGAAACGTCATGCTGAACGAAGATCTCTCCTGTAAGGTCGGCGGAGTCGGTCTGGCGAAGTTCCTCCCCGCGAATGACTCGTCGATCTGGGGAACGGTGGGGTATATCGACCCGCTGCTTCTCCGCACCGGGAAATACGGCCCGCAGTCGGATCTGTACGGATTAGGGTTGGTGATCCTGCAGTTGTTGACTGGCGAGAAGGTGAATAAGGTGCTCGAGTTTGCGAAATTCGGGCTGGAGGGAATTCTGGATCATCTGGATAAGACGGTTCAGTGGAACCCGGAGATCGCGAAGGAGGTTGCTGACGTGGCGCTGAAATGTAGGGACAGGATGAGCCGGCCGGATCTGGAGACGGTTGTGCTGCCGATGCTGAGGAAATACGCGGAGCAGACCAAGGGGGAGAAAGAGGCGGAGACCGCTCCGCCTGCTGCTGCTGCTGCTGGTGGCGGTGGTGGTGGTGGTGCGAAGGGTGGTGGTGGTGGTGGGGCGAGTAAGGGGCATGAGAAGAAGGGTGCGGCTGCGGCGGCGGCTGCTGCACCTCAGAAGAAGGGGCTGTTTGGGTATTTCTTTGGCAGGCGGTGAAGGGCGGAGGGGTAGGTAGTGAGGTGAAGGGAGGAGGGGAAGGGAGGGAAGGGAGGAGGCTTTTGGGACCCCTGAAAAGTGCGGAGGCGGCGGCTGCGCTTCAGAAGAAGGGGCTGTTTGGAAAAGAGGAAGGGAAGGGGTGGAGTGAAGGAGGAGGTGAAGGGAGGAAGTGAGGGGAAGCGGTGGAGCCTAGCTGCGAAAGGTATGGGAATAGGGCGCGTATGTGCAGTAGGGGTAAAGGAATTTGGTGGGAGGGAGCGGTGGAGAGGAGGTGTGGAGAGAAATGGTGAAAGGAAGAGCTGCAATGGAGGGAGGCTGGGAGGAGGGATGGAGGGAGGGAAGTTGGGAGGTAGGGAGGGAAGGAGCGAGGAGGAGAGAAAGAGAGGGAGGGAGGGAAAGAGGGAGAGAGGGAAAGAGGGAAATGGGAGGGAAAGCTGGTGGATGGGAGGGAAAGAGAGAGAGAAGGAAAGAGTGAGGATGGGAGTGAAAGAGGGAGTATGGGAGGGAAAGAGGGAGGATGGGAGGTAAAACGAAAGTGACGAAGTGAGCGAAGGAGGGAGGGAGGGAGGGAGGGAGGGGAGGGGAGGGGGGAGGCAGGGGGCGTATGGGAGGGCAGGGGGCGACGCACGTGTTGAAGGTTACGAGATGCCGTGTGAGCTGATTAAGTCGGAAACCGGCTTGGATGGGAGCAGGCTTGGATGGGAGCAGGCTTGGATGGGAGCAGGCTTGGATGGGAGCAGGCTTGGATGGGGGAAGGCTTGGATGGGAGCAGGCTCGGATGGGAGCAGATTTTGGTGCTTTTTGGTCGAAGCAGAGGGGGGGACAGAGGTGTCAGGACGATTGCAGCAGCAGTAAGGGGAGCCAGGGGGGGGGAGCAGAGGGGGGGGGGGGGGGGGGGGGAGCCGGGGGGACGAGCCCGGGGGAACCGCTCAAATAGCCTGTTTTTGAGTCGACTCAAAAACAGCAGGCGACAAAATTGGAGGAGGCACGTTTAGGGCAGATGGTATGGTGATGTGGGAAGATTTAGCCAGAGGGCTGGTGAAGTCAATAGGTGCTGCAGGATGGATGCAGGGCGAGCATGAATGAAGCAGCATGGGCAGTGGGGCGAGAACAGAAGGAGCAGTGTACGGGAAGGGACGGGGGTTTGTGGAGTGAAACCATCAGCCTAGGCGGAAGTGTTGGGCGGTTCTACCAACCCTGAGGACCGTTCACTCACACCACTGCCATGTGGTATGGTTTCACTTAGACTGTGTTTGAGATGGGGTTTAGCTTTAGGAAGATTCTTGCCATCATGATTTCTTTCGCTGCCGTCACCGATTTATTGCTGCTTTAGGGTAGGAGTCTAGTAGGTCATGAATGTACCACTTGGTAGTTCTGCATGCATGTTCTCTCGCCACCAGCAGCAACAACCATGCTACTACTTTATTTGATGGATGCATGGTGTTGTTGCCCTTATGTAGCCGTAAATACGGTAGTTACATTTACGTTAATGTTTCACAGAGCAGCATGCGGGCAGAAGCTTGATCGCCCTCCAATCGTTGCAAACATATCACAACAATGTGCTTGCGATGATGTGATTCCATAATCACCTCTTTCAGAACCCTCGGGGCCTCTTTTAGTGCCCTCGGGGGCCCCAACCCCCCTCCTTGACAGGCGAGTAGAGCCAGTGGTTGGCCAGCCCTGTGGCAGCACATTGCTCGCACCGCTCGTGGCCCCGCCCCTCACATGCCCCACACGCTTCCAGAGGTAGCTGCGTCACTAGCCCCCCTGCAGGGAGGGGGTGATGAATGCAGATGATAGGGGGGGGGATAAGGGCAGTGGTTGGCCAGCCCGGTGGCAGCACATCGCTCGCACCGCTCGTGGCCCCGCCCCCCTCACAGGACTACCGTATTTATTTTCTTGCATTGGCATGTCTGCAGTGGCTGCTGCATGACTAGACTAGACCCCCTGTGGGAGGAGAGAGAGGAGAGTTTTGAGGCACCTCAAAACCGCACCGCTCATGGTCCCGTCCCTCACAGTGCTGGCATGTCTGTAGTGGCTGCTGCATCACTAGACCCCCTGTGGGAGGAGAGAGGGGAGAGGGATAGGAGAGGGAGAAAGGAGAAGAGGGGCGGGATGGCGAAAGGAGAGGGAGAGGTTAGGGAAAGGAAAGGGAGAGGAGAGGGAAAGGAGAGGGAGAGGAGAGGGAAAGGAAAGGGAGGGAGGAACAAAAAGATAGAGGCAATTGCTCTAGCACCCAGCCCTTTCCCAACACAGACAAGTGCATCCTGAGCTTATGTGCTGGCATGGCAAGGGATGTGGCCTGAGACCTCTCAGATTCTTTGTTGGTTTAGAATTGGCAAAAGGAGGAAAACGAGGAGAGGAGGTATTGGTGTGAATTTGCTCACAAGAGATAAACATGGAAACATGATGGACAGACAGACTGGGGGAACATGGAGATTTTGCAAGTAAGAACTAGGGTGTCAACAAGAAAGGTTTGGGTTGGACAGGGTAAATGCGATTTGGTTATGCGGGATGTATCTACAGAAAAGCTGTAACGAAGACGTTACCTTGTCAAAATTTCAAAAAAACAATGAGTAGACAATAATCAAATTTGATTCGGGTAGACTAAAAACACACGTGGGCAACAGGTGCAAAATGTTACGAACAAGATGGCAGGAAGGGTGGGAGCGGGAGAAAAATAGTAGGAGCGGGAGAGGAGTGGGAGTGGGAGAGCAAGGGTTGGGGCAAGGAAGTGAGAAAAGAGCGAGGAGAAGCATGGTAGGAGAGGGGGGGTGTGGAAGTGCGCGGCCAGTTACCTTGCTTTCATGTGCAATAAGATTGTTTTCGAGATGTCTCAAAAGTGCGAGGAGAAGCATGGTAGGAGAGGGGGGAGTGTGGTAGGAGAGGGGGGAGTGTGGTAGTGCACAGTCAGTTACCTTGCTTTCCCCGGCCGTGGCACTTGCAGCAGAGCTGCATTGGTAAAGTGGGAAGTGGGGAGGGTTGGTAGAGAGAAGGCTGGATGACTAACGAGCAAGGCGAGAATACGTAAGCGTGAAAGTGGGGAGAAAGGATGTGTGGGTGTGGGTTTGTGTGTATACGGGTGGGTGTGGGTGGCTTTCGAGAATTTCAGAAGCAACTTCAACATGACTAACGAGCAAGGCGAGAATACGTAAGTGTGAAGGTGGGGGAGAAAGGATGTGTGGGTGTGGGTGGGTGTGTATACGGGTGGGTGTGGGTGGCTTTCGAGAAATTTCAGAAGCAACTTCAACATGACTAACGAGCAAGGCGAGAATACGTAAGTGTGAAGGTGGGTGGAAAAGGATGTGTGGGTGGGTGTTCGTGTGCACACGCGCACACACACACACTTACACATGCACCCACGCACCCACGCACCCACGCACCCACGCACACACGCACACACGCACCCACGCACCCACACACGCACGCCCCCACGCACGCACGCCCCCAGGCACCCACGCACACACGGACGCACCCACGCACCCACACACGCACAACCCCACGCAACACGGACTTACATTGTATCCTGTGCCAAGGCATGTGCGGCACTTTCTCGGTCGCTGCAAGCAGAGCAAAGAAGCGTCGCAGGAGAGGTGAAAAGGGGGGAAGAAGAGGGAGGTGGAGAGGGGGAAGGGGGGGAGGTGGAGGAGGATGAAATGAAGTGGGAAGACGAGGGAGGAGGGGGAGAAGGGAGACGAATGGGGGAGAGTAGGAGGGGGGTGTAGTCGTTGCATTGGTGAGTGAGTGACTACACAGTCAGGGTATTTTTGAGAATTCTCAAAATTACCCTGGGTTGATGATTGGTATGTAACAACCAAAACGCGCCATGCCCACCACACCACCAACCCGCCTAACCACCAACCCGCCTAACCACCAACCCGCCTCACCACCAACCCGCCTAACCACCAACCCGCTTAACCATCAACCCGCCTCACCACCGCTCCTTCCCACCACCGAAACTCACCAGCACGGTCCGCACAACCCGCACGCCGCGTCGCCACCACACCGGCAACGTCGCGCCGACAGCAGTGACGGCCGGCGCGATCCACGTCGACCGGCCGTCAGCGGCCGACTCGTAACTGAAGGAATTGACGAAATCGATCGGCTCGACACCAGGCGCTTCGGGAGGCGACAAAAAGGGAGGAGACGTGAGAGGAGGGACAGAGAAGGAGGAGAATGTCGAGACGACGTCCGTGATTGGCGGTGCCACGAGGAGAACGTTTGGGATGGTCGACGTCGATTGGCGGTAAACCCGTAAGGATGGCGCTTCGAGGTTTGTCCGGGAAGGACCGTGATGCGGGAGCGCCACCAGCGGAACCGGAAGGGGATGCGGAGTAACGGACATTTCGTCGAAGCGTGTGGTGGGAAAAGGATTCGAAGGCGACATAAGGACACACGAGCTGATAATTGTTGACATTTGTTACGAGTGCAATTGAGTGAACGAGCGAGAATTGCACTATCGAAGCAAAACAATACACTTGAGCAAAAAGCATGAGCGAAGTTATATAGCGAAGCTAGCGTGGTAACGGTGATGCGGGAAATTGGGGTGCGCTACGGGCCTAGCGCCGAGGTTGGGAATTGTTGAGGCGGAGGTCCGGAGCGCGGGTTACCAACCGAACCGTGAGGTTGGGTCGCATCGTGAACAGTGGCGGGAGTCGTGGTCGAGGCGAATGTCGCGAGCGGGTAACGTTCACGGATGAGTGCCGATGGCGGGAACGGGCATGTACGCGGTAAGCAGGGACGCGAAGTAAGGAAAATGAATTTTCCTTACACTACCCCCCTCCCCAAGGAGGCCCCTATTACGAGAGCGCGTGTACATCTCGAAAGTTCCGGCTACGCAGATACTCAGTCAGGACAGAGTGATTCTCAATTCTATCCAGGGGGACCCAGTTGTCTTCGGTGGGCGTGCGGTCTTTCCAGCGGATCAGAAATTCGATCCTGCGGGCTCCCCGTGGGTCACGTACTCGGTGGCTCAGTGTCAAATTACAATTGTATCTCTAGGCTACAGTAGGGTCACTCCTTAGTAAGTACAACACTTTAGGGTTAGGTTTCCTCTACTTGTACTCACCTCTTGCCTAGTTCACTCATTCATTCCTAGTTCTATTCTTGACATGTTATCAGAGTAGGAACCGTTCCTACATGGGCCCACCGTTCCGCCTAGTGGTAGCGACACGCCCTACACAGTAGCCAGCGCGCTGGCGCCCCTAGCTCTCACTATCGCGACCCTTGCAGCCCGTGCGCTGCCCCTGCGACCGCGCTGCCCCTGCAGCCGTGCTCGCCCCTGCGACCGCGCTGCCCCTGCCCCTGTGGCCCGCGCGCTGCCCCTGCAGCCCGTACGTCGCTCCTGCAGCCCGTACGTCGCCCCTGCAGCCCGTTCACGCTGCCCCTGCAGCCCGTTCACGCTGCCCCTGCAGCCCGTTCACGCTGCCCCTGCAGCCCGTTCACGCTGCCCCTGCAGCCCGTTCACGCTGCCCTTGCAGCCCGCGCGCAGACCTACCGAGCCGCGTGTCGCCTCTGCAGCCCGTCCGCGCGGCCCCTGCAGCCCGCGCGTCGCCCCTGGAGCCCGCGCGTCGCCCCTGGAGCCCGCGCGTCGCCCCTGGAGCCCGCGCGCCGCCTCTGCGGCCCGTTCGCGCCGCCCCTACAGCTCGCGCGCGGACTTGCCGAGCCGCGCGTCGCCTCTGCAGCCCGTACGAGCTGCCCTTGCAGCCAGCGCGGCGCCCCTGCAGCCCGCGCGTCGCCCCTGCAGCCCGCACACCGCCACTGGAGCCCGTGCGTCCTGCCCCTGCAGCCCGCGCCCTAACGCAGCCCACGAGTCGCGCGCTGCTGCCTCGCGCGTCGCGCTCTGCTGCCTCGCGCGTCGCGCTCTGCTGCAGCCCGCGCGTCGCGCCCTAAGGCAGCCCGTCGCGTCGCGCTCTGCTGCCCCTCGCGTCACGCAATGCTGCAGCCTGTGCCAGCGCCCTGCCCTGCGCCCGCGCCCTGCCCTGCGCCAGCGCCCTGCCCTGCGCCAGCGCCCTGCTATACCCTAAATATGATTAAATTGTAAAAAAAAAAAAAAAAAAAAAAAAAAAAAAAAAAAAAAACGGCCCTAGGTGCTTCTGCTCTAGGAGCTACTGCCTACTACTGCCCTGCTGTGGCCGCGCACCGCCCTGCCCTGGCCGCGCGCCGCCCTGCTGCTGTTACTACTGCTGCTGCTGCTACTCGTGCTACTAGGAGTGGTGGAGGTGCTGTTGGGAGTGCAGGAGGTGCTGCTTGCGCTGTAGGAGCTGGAGGTGCTGGACCTACTCCTGACCGTCACTGTCTGTCATGGCCACTTCCGCGGCAATTGCTGCGGCCAGGGGTGGACAGCAGCGGGCACTGCTTCTCCCGGACGACCCCACCCCTCGGCAGCTTCGTGAGTGGGTTATTCAGCGAGGTCGTCCTGGTGGTGGAGGTTATCGTTCTGTTAGGACTACTGCTCTAGGTGCTAGTGAGTCTGCTGCCGCTCCAGGTGCTAGTGAGTCTGCTGCAGCTCTAGGTGCCCGTGCGTCTACCGACGCTCTAGGTGCTAGTGCATCTACTACCACAGGTCCTGCCTCATATGAGGTCTTGCACACTTTCACGCTTGACTCAGGCGCGTCACGTTGCTTCTTTCGTGATTGCACCACAGTCACACCACTCACAGCACCTGTCCCAGTCTCACTGGCTGACCCCACTGGGGGCCCAGTGGTTGCGAGAGCCTCCACGGTCCTCCCTTGTCCAGCAGTCCCCTCCGGCTCTTTGTCAGGTCTCCACCTCCCCACGTTCTCGACGAACTTGGTGAGCAACGCTGCCATTCAGGATGTCTGGGTTGATACATTTATTCCTGGAGGGCAGCGTGTGGCGATCTGTACATGCTCACGGACTGGCCGTCACCTGGCTACGTTCACTCGACAGCCTGGGTCTAGTCTATACACACTGACCACTGCGTCTGCACAGGTGGCTGAGTCAGGTCAGGTAGCTGCGTCGAGTCGAGCGTGTGCGTCAGGGCAGTTAGCTGCGTCTTGCTCGTGCAGGGTACTCACGCACGAGACTCAGCGCTGGCACCACCGCCTTGGTCACCCCTCCTTGCAGCGTCTGCGTGGCATGCACTCCCGGCTCCTGGTCTCTGGCCTCCCTGAGACCCTGCCCCCCCTCCCGCGCTCACTTGCGCCGCCGTGCCTTCCTTGCGTCGAGGGGCGGCAGCGCGCCGCTCCTCACTCCTCCGAGTTTCCTCCGACCACTGCTCCTCTGCAGACTCTCGACATGGACGTGTGGGGCCCGGCCCCCGTCGGTAGAACGGACCAGGAGCGCTACTTCCTGCTGGTGGTTGACGACTACACACGCTACACCACTGTCTTCCCCTTGCGGCGCAAGGCGGACGTCAGCGGTGTTTTGATCCACTGGATCCGTGCTACTCGTCACCAGCTGCGCGAGCGGTTTCGTCGGGACTTGCAAGTCCTGCGTCTGCACTCTGACAGGGGCGGTGAGTTCTCTTCTGGCGTCCTTGAGACGTTCTGCCAGGATGAGGGCATCGCCCAGTCGTTCACACTTCCGGCCTCTCCGCAGCAAAATGGGATCGCTGAGCGTCGCATTGGCCTGATCATGGAGGTTGCTCGTACCTCCATGATCCATGCGGCTGCTCCCCATTTCCTGTGGCCGTTTGCGGTCCGATACGCCGCGCATCAGCTCAACCTCTGGCCCCGTGTCTCTGCTCCAGAGACCTCGCCCACACTCCGTTGGACGGGACAGCCTGGTGATGCGTCGTCGTTTCGGGTCTGGGGCGCGCTCTCCCTTGTTCGCGATACCAAAGCGAGCAAGCTCTCTCCTCGCACTCTCCGCTGTGTCTTCCTGGGCTTCCCCACCGACGCTCCACCCTGGCAGTTCTACCACCCTGCCTCGCGTCGTGTTCTGTCCTCTCAGGACGTCACCTTCGACGAGTCGGTCTGTTACTACCGACTTCACCCGCACGCGTCCCACCCGGTCCCCCTTGCACCCCTCTTCCTGGTACCAGTCCCCCCTCCGGTAGACCCCCTCCCCCCACAGGGTCCTGCTCCCTCAGGTGTGTCCCAGGTAGACCCACCCCCCTTGGATGAGCCAGTTGAGATCTCTTCTGACTCTTCTGACTCACCTGAGGGGGGTGACGCCGTCGCCGACGACACGGCGACCACTCGCCACACTCCTCGCTTGGCGACCCCCCCGGGTTTCCCACCACTGCCGTCTTCGCCGCCTCCGCAGCCTGCTGCTGTGGACTCTGGAGCTGAGACTACTGGAGCTGGGGCTGGGGGTGGTGAGTCTGGGGGTGCCCGCTCTCCTCGTCTGGCTACCCCCCCCGGGTTCCCACCTCTGCCGTCTTCGCCGCCTCTGCAGCCTACTGCTGTGGACATTGGAGCAGAGACTGAGGGTGCTGAGACTGAGGGTGCTGGGACTGAGGGTACTGAGCCTGAGGGTGCTGGGACTGAGGGTGTTGGGACTGAGGGTGCTGAGACTGAGGGTGCTGAGACTTCGGGTGCTGACTCTGGGGGTGCTGCGAGTCCTTCTGGAGGTCCTGGAGCTGGAGGTACTGGAGCTACTAGGCCTGGAGGACCTACTAGAGGTACTAGAGGTACTACTGGTGCTGGAGGTACTGGAGCTGCTGCTGGTGCTGGAGGTGCTGGAGCTGGAGGTACTAAAGGTGCTTCTGGTGCTGGAGGTGCTAGAGCTACCACTATTGGAGTTACTGGAGCTGGACAGCCACCGCAGCGTGCTCTACTTGAGACGCTCTCGCCGCAGGCGATTCGTGCGTGGGTCGTTCTGCGAGGCAGTCCTGGTGGTGGAGGGTACGGTCCTGTTGGTGCTGGAGCTACTAGTCCAGGAGGTGCTGCTGGTGCTGGAGGTGCTGGAGGTACTACTGGAGGTACTAGAGGTGCTGCTGGTGCAGGAGGTTCTGGAGCTGCTGGTGCTGGGGGTACTGGAGCTGCTGCTGGTGCTGGAGGTACTGGAGCTGCTAGTACTGGAGGTGCTGCCGGTGCTGGAGGTACTGGAGCTGGAGGTACTGGAGCTGCTGGTGCTGGAGGTACTACTGTTACTGGAGGTGCTGGAGCTACTGGCACTAGAGGTGCTGGTGCTACTGGTGCTGGAGCTGCGGGAGCTGCTGACCCTGGAGGTGCTGGTGCTGCTAGTGCTGGAGGCGTTGGCGCTGGAGGTCCTGGAGGTGCTGGAGCTACTGGTCTCGGAGGTGCTCGTACTGGAGGTGCTGAAGCTGCCGAAGCAGGAGGCGTTGGCGCTGGAGGTCCTGGAGGTGCTGGTGCTGGAGGTGCAGGAGGTGCTACTGGAGCTGCTGGCACAGGAGGTACTGGAGGTACTACTGGT